AATTCTTAGCAAGTAGAAAAAGAAGGAAACCGCCTAATTTTATCACCTACAAACACCCGGAACCAGAAACTTGGACTGCTGAGCAATTTTCTTCTGAAAGGAGAAGGACCAGGAGGCTGGGTTGCGCTCGGCCGTCCTCCCCATCAGTCCAACAAGAGAGGAGGAGGGGGCGAAGCTGTGAGAATAGGAGGGGGAGATAGGAAACCGTCATTTTTGGCTATTTCTATGATCGTGCATGTACAAAACCCAGACGAATCTCAGGAAAATTATTAGAATCAGTAAGTTTAGCTTTGTTTCTGGATACATGGTCGACATGTAAAAATCCATTTCATTTCTGTGTAGCAGCAGAAACACAACAGAACACTCAGAAATACTCAGAAATGTGCCATTTGAAGTGTCAGGAAGAAACATCAGTTACCCAGGACTAAACCTAACAAGAATGTGCAAGGCCGCAGACATGCAGACTGAAGCCTTATGGGAAGAAACAAAAGGTCTGGATCGTTCGTTACAGACATGGACTTGAACCTGAATCTACAAAGATGTCAATTATCCCTAAATTCATCCACAACTTTAATCCAAATAAAAATTGCAACAATTTTTACAGATGTGTATCTAGAAAAGCTGAATCTAAAAAATACATATAAAGGCAAAAGGGCGTTGCATGAACAGGCCACCTTGAAGGAGATTTGCTCCCGGGAGGACACTAGACTTGATAGGAAGCCCCAGACAAGAGGGTGGCACTGTGCGTGCTGGTGCCAGAGGCCCCGGGCACACGGGCGTGCTGCCTGGGGCAAAGGTGGTCCGAAGCATCGGGGGAGGTGCATGTTTTCAGCAAGTGGGGATGGACAGACAGGTGGAAAATTAAACAAAACCAGAAGAAAATGGAGCCTTTAAGCATCCGTTCAGCACAGGTGGGTTGAAGAGTAGGGAAGGCAGAGTAATGAGGCCCCAGGCAGAGTGTGAATCAGGACCTGGTGAGTGAGGGGCAGGCGGCGGCCGATGGGCCACCTCCCCGGGTGGGCCTGTGCCGGGGAGACGGCAGCCAGCCGGGGAAGGCCAGGGCCAGGAGGGACAGGCAGACGGCTGCCCCAGCAGAATAGAGGACAGGGCCAGGGGTGCAGGGCTGGGTGGGCCACCGGCCACTGCCGAAGGCTGAGGCCGCACATCAGGGACCACCTGGTCTGGCACAAGGGGTCCCCGGAAGCGTCAGGAGGAAAGCGGGGCTGCATGTCCAGCTTCGGTCACCGACCCGCCTTCCACCCATGTGCCCCCAACCTGGCAGTCTTCCCAAACCTCGGCCAGGGCCGCAGTGGGCACGAAGCTGCCGACTCCTCAAGCCAGACCCCGAGGGACAGCACTGCTTGGCCCCGGCGCTCTCGGGACCTGAGCCGACCGGTGAGCTGGCAGCCAACGCCAGCGGGGGAGAGACCCCACACGGAGCTGGGAGACCCCCGCCAGCCAGTCTCGCTGGCCACGAGGAGAGGAGCCTGGGGCAGACAGCCCAGCCCAGGCGGGGGACGGGGACCAGCCGTCCATGCGCACGCCTGCCGGACGGCAGATCCGTGTGCAGGGTCACTGTGTCGAGGCACCGGTTTTGGGGGGCCTGCCGCGCAGCATCCGGTGACCCGAGCGGGGGAGGGGCAGCGTGGGGCTGAAGGTCACGTGGACAGTGACTGTGAGGCGCACACAGAGTGGTTTAAATCGCCCTTCCTCACGGGTGGCCCATGACCCAGGGCCACAGAATCCGGGGAGCTCGCCCGGCTGCGGGGCATTGGGGTTAGTACCAGGTTGGGCCCGGCGCCCAGGTGTGAAGCCCACAGCCACACCCCACCGGGAGGATGCTGGCTGTTTGCTGACATCCCTGCTGGCGTGAGAGCTTCCCAGGGCAGAGGCCACGCTGGCTCACCTGGCGCCGGCAGGTGCTTAGCAGACATTGTTGAACAAACAGGTGTGACAGGATGGGGTCTCGGGAACGGTGGCCCAGGGTGGAGAAGGTCACGAGGAGCCCACACAGGACGCCCCAGGAAAACCTGAGGTCCAGGAGTTTGTGCCTTTCAGGCCCGGAGCAGGTAAGGCCTCACCCTTCCCTTTCACAGAAGGCACCCCACGGCCGGCAGAGCCGCACAGGCCTCCAGGCACGGTGGTGGGACGGCAGACGACACAGTGGCGCAAAGTCAGAAAACCGTCCTAGGCTTCTACTCCGTAACGCTTCCCACGTCCTCACCAGAGGGCCTGCATTTGGGCATTCGGACGCCACAGGACAGCTCGCAGCCGACCTGCCGCGGCATCCACTGCGTGCGCCCCACAGTTAAAAAGGAGGCGTGGAGCCTGGCCAAGTCTTAAATCTCATCTTAGGGAAGGAGATTTGGAGGCAGCACGCCATGCTCCCCTGGGGAACTGCCCTTCCCCAGAATGGTTCTTGGGGGCTGGCATCCCAAAGCAGGCACCCTCCCCAGGGACGCAGGCAGGGTCAATTAAGGGTGTTCCCAGGAGCTGGCATGTATGTGCTGCAGAGGGGGTGCCCCTCTCCGAGAGGAGCTGCCAAGCCAGGAGGCTATGGGTCAGGGTCGTTGCAGGCTGTGATACTGGGCTCCCTCCCCACCCAGTGGGGAAGATGGTCTCTGCAGGTGGGGCTGAACCATAGAGTGGGTCCACGTGGGGAGCTGAAGACCATGTGTGGGCCCCACCCCTTCCTTCACGGTAAACACCTGTTACTTAAGCACAGGAGATGGACATTGCTGATTCCCCTGCCTAAGCCCACATCTGCCTGGTCCAGGGTTAGTGACCTCGGGAGGAATCAGCACTATACCCAGCACCCTGGTCCAGCACGGCTGCTGGGCAGTACCAGGCTGGGCTCTGTGCACAGACCTCATGGCTCCAAGACCCTCGATGGCAGCCCTTGTTACCTGCCCCTCCTGCCTCACCAGCAGCCTCACGAGCTTTAAATAGGCCTGGCTCCCAGATGATGCCTTTAACTCTCAGCCTTTCCTGCTGGGAGCTGCTCGACTGCCCACCAGGGAGGGAAGCCTCATTGAGGCTGCCCCTGAGGACTATCGGGCTGCTCCAAGATTTCTCGGAAACCTCAACCAGTGATGAGTGATTTTAATTTTCTTTACAAAATTCTCCTGTGACTTGTACATTTTCCCCAGTGAATACTGTAAGCTTGTATATAGTTAAAACAGTAATTTATTGCAACTTCAAAGGATTCGGGAAGATCAGCCAAACACAGCCCGGGAGATAAGAGCAGCTTCTCATCTCCATCGCTTCATCACTCCGTGCAGACGAGAGGAATTCTTTACTGTAGCACTTACATTATGGTACCTTTCTGAGTCAAAGATCCTTTGGAAATCATGAAAGCCGCACACTTTCCCCAGGGAAACGCACACACCCCATATGGCATTCTGCAGAAGCTCGGGTAAGTTCATCAGCACCCCTCCCCCATCACCCACCACCAAGCCCTGTGATTCGGGCCATGTGATGGGAACAGCAGCTGGTACCAGAAATGGGATCATGGAATCCAATTTAAGGCATCCAGGAAGCCCTCTGTCCCTGCCCCCTTCCCCCATTTCCTGCCTGTCCCAAGCCCTCGGCCCCATTGCTGCATCCCCAGTACGCTTGTAAATCAGGTCAGCGTTTCCCGATCACTCCCTAGGGGCCAGGGACTGGCCTGGGCTCTGGGGAGGCTCCCCGCAGAGCTTGGCCATGGGGAGTCCCGGGAGGCAGGCAGCCGGGGCCACAGAAGCTGGTCCTTTTAACAGCGTTCCCCAGAGACTCTGCAAGTATCCAATAAATGTCAGGCGAATTAACCAATAAACACACAGATGGATGACAACATAGCCAGCTTATCCTGAAAGGTGCCTGGTCTTCAGAGAGCACGAACCGCCTATCAAAATAGTAGTCCGGGGAGGGAGGGCAAGGAAGGGTTTTCTCGCCACCTCATTAACAGACTTCATTTACATGAGTGCGCCCCAGGATGAAGGGTCCTCCTTCCAAGGCTGGGTGCTGCTCCCCAGAGGCGTGCGGAGAAATCACACTGGCAGCGAACATCTATCTTGATTGCCAAGTTCTATGTTCAGATGCGATAAAACAACACCCCTCGGGGAAGCTTCTGGATTTGCACACTGGAGGTGCGACAGCCTCACCTGGCTGATTATGAGACGTTAACGCCCGGCCAGAGGGGCTTGGGACCCCTCGCCAAAGGACCAGCTCATTCTGAGCCCTTTCTGCGGCCGTGGGTCTCCCGAAATACCTGCGGGATGGCAGCGGCTGCTTACCAAACCCTTCCGCCCCGCCGGCTGCGGCCCCCAGGCCGGGGAACCAATGTTTGTGTAGCTGGACAGGGAGAGGAGGGGGCGCCGGCGCCGGGGGAAGGGGCTGTAAGGGGCGCCCTTCGTCGCGCTAGGCAGTGATGCGACGAAAGGCCACGTTTAGGGTCCACTTATTAGCCACCGTGTCCTTGGTGCGCCGCGGATCCTTCCCGCCTGTGCCTTCCGCGTCCCCAGACCCGCTCCCAGACGCAGCCCGACCGCCTGGCAGCCCCGGGCGCACGGACGTGCGGGCAGGTCCAGGAGGGGCTCGGCGGGCGCCGGGAGCGGGGTCGCACACCGGGCCCGCGGGAGCAGGTGGCGGCAGGAGCGGGCCGGGTGCCCACGCTCCGCGCCCCGCGCCCCGGGATGTAGCCGTGCGGCCGCTTACCTCCGAGACGCAGTGACTGCACCGGCGGCGCCTCCGCAACTCGGCCGCGCGCGACCCGGTGCCCGGCGTGCGCCCGCGCCGCCCCCGCCCCCGGCCCGGCCGGCCCGCCCGCCCAGCGCTCTCACTGGCCCGCGCGGCCCTCGGCCCGCCCCGCGCTCTCCTCGGCGCCCCGCCCTCCGGCCCCGCCCCGCCCGGGGAGCGCGCGGGGCGCACCAAGGCCTGTCCGAGCGCCGCCTCTGCCTTACAAGGCCGGCTCCGCGCAGCGCCGTGGGAACCCCGCGGGGCCGGCGCGGGTGCGGTCGTACCTGGCTCCCGGACCCGCGGGACGGCCCGGACCCCGCGCCCCGCGGGTGGACGAGCGCGGCAGCAGCGGGAGGATGAATGAGCGCGCGGACAGGCCTCCCGGGTGGTGCGCCCAGGGCGCTGGCCTGTCCGCGGAGACTCTCGCGCCAACACGTCGGAGTCGGGGATTGGAGCGCCTAGTTTGAAAGGCAGCGTGCGCGTGCGGCAAGCGCCTAGCGGGCCCGTGAGCTGAGGCTTGGCCCGAGGTGGGCAGCACGTCCGTCCCGGCACCGGGCACCTCGCGCACTGGACAGCCTTCCCGGGCACGCGCAGGGCTGCACCCCACCCCGGCCCTCACCCCAGTGTGAGGCATTCCTGCTTCCCGCGCTCGGCCTGGGCCTCCCCGGGTTTCCGAGGGCGCACCTGCTGCTCCCACCCCAGGCCAGCCCTGCGGCGGGACACGCGTGTTCGGAAGCATTGCGGGCTGCTTAGCTAAGATCTGGGCCGCGTTCAGTGCTGAGTGCTGGGGTTTGCCTGCAGGGCTCTTCTGTCTGCTCCTGGAGGGAGGAGGTCTCTGAGGCTGTTGAGAGGCCCAGTTTGGGGTGGAAGGGGGAGGCGGCCTGTAGGTTGCTTCCAGCTTCACGGCTATGGTTCCGCTGGAGCAGGTCAAGAAACCCCTGCCCACCCCACGCTCTGACGCCCCCACCTGGCTGTGGACCCACCAGCATGGACATACCCCACGCTCTGACCGCCCCCCCCACCTGGCTGCAGGCTGCCTGCCCCTCAATAAACAACTCCAGGCTCTGCCCCCTACTGGCTGTGGACCCCATCCCCCAACCCCCATGAACGCCCTTCTGGGCTCTGACGGTCTGAGCATTTCACACAAGAGGGGAGTCCTGTCAGGTGAGGGTTGCCCGGCAGTCGTTATTAACAACGCAAATGAAGTCATGAAAATATTACTCATCATCACGCTCCCACTGCCATACTACCCAAAGGGGACTGTTCCGCCCACTTCTCGGGGACCTCCCACACGAGCACGCTATCGTAGGACTGCTGCAGGCCAGGAGCACCAGGCTCCGGAATCAGAAGACGGTGGGACAGGTCCCTGGGAAGTCGAGGTGGAGCGTGGGAGACAGGGCAGCCTGCCACACCTGTCCGGCAAGGAGGGAGGCGACCCTTCCTTCCAGGCAGCCTGGCGTTCTGCCTCTGGACCCAATGGGGGTGGGAGCTGGGCTGCTGTGCGTCGGGTCCCAAAGCTGTGATGAAAGTTGGGGTGCACAGGGTGCTGCTCAGGCCTCTACAAAACCACCAGAAATAGAGGACGGGGTCTCACCGAGCTGGGAAGTCCCCCCTACAATGGAAGTGCACGTTGCACCCTGGTTCAGGGGCTAGAGGCCTGCAGCTGGGGCTGCCGCTGCACCCTGAACAACTGGGCCACTGAGGACCTCCCCCTACCCCTCTGGGCCTGGCTCGAGGAAGATGTCCTCTCACAGTGGCTAGCACGGCAGCAGATCTGGGACCTCCATATCTTGGAGTGGGTGTTGCAGTCAGGGCCAGCCTTGTGCAGGATCCGACCATAATGAAAACATGGGTTTTGTTTAAAGATTAAGAACTTCCAGGTGGTGATGGCAGAGCATTAGACAGAGTGAGGGGCCCTCCTGATGGAGTCCTGGGTATGCACAGTCCAATCACCATCAGGGGTTCCCAGGACTCAGGAGGCTGAGTAGTTGACCCAAGGATGCATGGCAGGGCTGGCGCCACAGCCAGCGTGTGCACAGGACACTTGCTTGATCTTCCTGGGAAACCTGATCAACCTGGGAAAACTTGGCCCTTGGATTTATCCCTGCAGCCATAAACGGGGCTTACCATCCTATTTGGAAAGTGTACACATTTCTCATGGTTTAAGATGATTTCCTTATTTTTTTCCTAATAAGGTTTTCAGGACCTGGGCTGTGTTACTAACTCTGCCATGAGAACATCTTGGGAGGTGCCAGCTGCCAAGCAGAGGAGCCAGCACAGCACTCCTGGGGGCAGGGCCCTGATCCCGTGCTCCCTGCCCACCTCTGGCCGCCCAAGCACATGGTACCAGCCCTGGCAGCACAGCAGGGGCTCTGACCACAGTGACCCCAAGGTCTCCCCAGAGCCTGGCAGCTGCCATTGCTGCACACACAGGTGGGGCATGGCGTCCCGTGTGCCCACCCGAGGCAGCCTGACTGTGGCTTCTCCCTCCTGACGTCACGATGCCACGGGCGTACAGTGACTGTACAGGTGTGCTGGTGTTTTCTGACTGTGCTGCCATACACTTGTTCGGTGCTGGAGTGCTCGGGCTCCAGGGAGGGATGGCGCTGCCAGCAGAGTCCCGACCAGGAGTCCTTACAAAGTGTGGAGCCCAAGGTGCGCGTGGACGAGGAGCCTGTCTAGTCCCTTCAAGAGGACGTGGGGTGTGCCAACAAGTTACAAAGTTATAGAAATTGAAACCCAGTTTAACACCTCAAAATCAGGCCATTCTGAGAAGGGTCCTCTGTGAGGGTCTGTGCACAAGCTGTCAGAAGACAGTTCACACAGAGGAGCCCGGGTGGGGCTCCAGGTGGCGAGCGAGGCACTTGCCATCCCCAGAACAGCCTTGCCCTGCAGAAAGGACCCTGGGGACAGGCTCCCAGGGAGTCCACGTCAGGACGCAGCTCCTACATGGCAGCACAATCCACCCTTTAGGACATGCCCATCTTTACCAAACCAACTTAGGCTCAGGTTCTCTGCCGCCGCAGGGCACGATCCTAGTTTGGTGAAGGTATCAGCTACCCTGCCCTCAGAACCTCCCCCCACGTCGCCTGGACACCCCCTGCTCTCAGGAAGTGCCGCCCCTCCCTCCTGCTCTTCCCAGGGCCCGAGGCCCAATGCCCGGGCTGCTGGGTCTGACTCATGGCTCCCTGGGTCCAGGTGCTCCAACACCACCTGATGACACAGCAGCAACCTGGGCCCTTTTAGGCTCAGTCAGTCCTTCTCCCATGACTGCATGTCCTGGATTTGCAATGAAAATGGACCTCCACAAAGCAACATCTAATGCACATCATGCTGTCATGTGACTTCTGTCTCCAGGCAACGGAGTGATAGGATCAGACTCCCCCTCTAATGTGAAATGACCCCAAACCGCAGGAACTATGTGAAGCAATGGTTTGCAAGGCACTGAACACCAGGCAACAGAGGATAGTGACCCCTGAGTGATAGGAAACTGCCCCCGATTGCCTGGATGGTGTCCAAGCATGGTGCAGGGAGGGCAGCTAGGCAGAGCCTGGCCATCTGTGGGTCAGGAGACCAAAGTGGATAGAACTCACAAAACAGGGTGTGACAGGAGAGCCGCCAGAGGATCCAGAGATCTGAGGACCCTCAAGTACATGGCTGAGGACTGGTCAGCTCATGCAGGCAAGGAGACCAGTTGCTGGAAAAGAGCCCCTGGGAGCAGCGCCTGTGCTGGCTGATGGGAAGACCTCACATTGATGGGGTGCCAGGCTGTGCATGGAAGTGCCCCTGCAGTGGGGAGTGAGTGGCCCCCGTCTGAGCACTGCCCGGGTCCTGCCTACAGAACTGAGCCTCAAGGCACAGAGATCAGTTTTTATATAACTGCATCTCAGAATAAACTTCAAGACTATTAATAAGAAATACCCAGTGCCTAAAAAGGTAAACTTAGTGATTTCTGGCATTCAGTTAGAACTATTGGTGCACAAAGAAGCAGGAAAATGAAACCCATACTGAGAAGATACCAGCTGATACTGGCCCAGACCTGACACATAGGCATGAGAACAGTCTTCATCTGGGCCCCACATGTCCCAAAAGTGGAGATGTGGGAGATATAACAGCACTCCAGATTCAATCTGTCATGTGTGAGAGGAGAAATATGTTGGACGGAAGGAATGGCAGATTGGACACTGAAGCACAGGGATACCAGTTATCTAGACCGAAACAGCGAGAAAAGAGAACTAAAAAGGCAAAACCAGATCATGGGTTACTGGTAGGACTTCAAGCACCTGATCCACATTCAACTGGGGTCCTTGAAGAAGAGGAGAAAATACTGGGGGTGCAGAAAAAATGTTAGAAGAAATAATTCAGAACGTTTACAAACTTGACAGAAACTATAAGCCACAGATTCAGAAAGCCCAATGGACGACAAACACTAGAGCCACGAAGAAAACCCGACATGTAGCACAATCCGATCACCCAGCTCCAGTGACAGACAGGAAACCTCACCAGCCAGGGAGGCCGCAGACTGGGGTGGAGGCAACGCTGGCTGGTCCCGCACACCCAAGATGTGACACTTGCTCAGGCTAGTGCAGGCTCTGAGTAGGGAGGAATCCCTGCTTGCCGGAGAACACACATTTCTTAAAAAAACAGTCAGGGGTACAGCATATATCCCATAAACCAGGCTTGTTACATTGTCCAAATCCATATTTTTACACTTTAAAATATGGTGCCCTGACAGCAATTGAGAGTTATGTTAGACACACCCACCAATGGTGCATTTCTCTGTTGTTCCCTGTGGGTTCTGTTACTGTTCCCTTTACACATTTTTCTTATTTATATCATCATAAACCCCATTGGTGTAGGTTTGTTGGTGGTTAACTCCATTTTTATTCATTTAAAAGTGTGCTTTTTCCTAGATATAGTGTTTCTGGGCCAACAGCTGTTTTCTGTTGCACTTTGTAGGTAGTATTTCCCTGTGTTGTATTGTTCCCATCATTAGTCTGTGTCTAACTTCTGTTCCTCTGCATTCTATCTGTTGTTTCTTTCTGCTGTTTTTAAGGTCAAATTATCTTTGGTGTCTGTCTTTCTCTACAAGATGTCTGGGTGTGAATTTTGATCTATGTAGCTCGTTGTAAACAGGGCCTCCTGCACTATGGGTTCATGTCTTGGTTAGTTCTGGGAAACCTTAACAATATCCCCTGTGACACCTCCCTTCTTACTGTCCCTGGACCCCTGTCTTCCTGGACTCCAGCTGGTCATGGCTGAGATCTCATCCCTCCTTTGTCAAACTTCCTGTCACACTGTCCCTCTCAGCCCTTCGGCTGCATCTGCATTTGGCCTAATTTCTTCGGATTATTTTCCAGTTTAATAATCCTCTCTTCAGCTATGTTTAATT